TAAAAACAGACACTCCAATTTCATTATCTGTAGGTATAGATCAACTAGTGTTTATTTTCGGCCAAAAAGTAGATCGTTAAATGGAAATAAATGACACATCAAAATTCCTTTACACATTTTATTCAACATTACAAAATATTTACAATAATTGTAGTGTATTATACAAATTCACAAACATACGTAGTTTGCTAGGCTAGAGGTAATTTGGCAATTACAGTATACAGTAAAAAAAATATAAACGGCATAATAATCGAGTTTAACTTTAAATCTAAAACAATAAGGCAGTTTTAATTAGACTAAGTTGCTAGCTACACTGTAATAGATAATTTAACATAGGTAAGTTTATGAGTTAGTTTAGACTTTAGTAACTTAAAAATAAGATTGAAATTTCATTGCTTTTAACAAAATATTTTTGTATTATTAAAAGGATTGCACTGCGTCCATGCATTGTTGGCCCTGGAGCTAAGAGTATCGGATAATATTATTCTAACTACCTTATTACGACGATTATTATTTATTACACTAGGCGAAGGCATTTGACATTAGTCAAAGATGGCGATCTAATGTTATTAATCGCGTTAAATTCTATTAAATACAGCTAGTCCGTGATACAGAAGTATTTGCAACTTATATTATAAAATAGGGGATTAATTATCGTATATTCTGATACTCTTTATTACACAGGGCCATTTTGGACATTGTCATTTCATAGATAACTTTTAATATTCAACTTTTTTATTTACTAGGTACTGAAGGTCTAAAGTAACTCTTAAACTCTCCTAGTTAGAGTTTTGTACATTGTACTTGAACTAGGGTCACTAACCAAGGGTAACACATATCTTGATATTGCTTCAATCAGGCACATTTTGTATTGAAGAGGTAATTAATTTTAGTAAAATATAACTAATAGTTAAAATGATACCATTCAAACTGTAAATTGGTAATACAATTTAAGTTCTGTTGCTAAGATTTTAAAAATCAATTTCACTTAATTCGACTAGACTAAATGTTAAAACGCCTTTTGACTTATGGTAATTACTAAAAATTAAAATTCTAAATTTTTAAGCCAAGGTAGTGTATACCATCGACATATACTAATGGACATGCCTTAGAGATGAGAATTGTGGCACTCCGAAAGAAAGAGAGGAAACGAAGTTTCGGTCTATCTTTATCTCTCTCAAAATAGTACCGTAGTTAAGACGTTATGAGCGAGAAAGAGATAGCGCTAGACCGAAAGCATAGGCCATCTCTCTCACTCTTTTCAAACCAAAAAATTACTGCAGATTATACGCGTACGGCATGTCCATTAGTATATGTCGATGGTGTATACTAGGGGACAATTGTCGCATGACATGTATCGGCGGCTTGTCAAACGATGCCGGCTTATGTCACCTAAAATATATTATGGCGACAACGCGCGTCTTAAGCCCACTGCGACGTTGATGTTGCCAGACATGTTGACCATAGTCTGACAACGTGTATCCTTGCCTTTAGGCACATAATTGTTTTATAATTATTGCTTTGTCGTTGTCCAATTTTAATAAGTTACTTCTGATTGGCTAATAATTGAGGTTCCTAACATGAACAACTTTCGTGAGATAAATTGATTATTATGTTTTTTGGCTTTCTCACGTAATTATTTGACGAGGAAATCGACTAGTTTCAAGGCACGCTGGAGGCTCATATTTATGTGCAGCATTCCGCGACCCGCGACGCGCTGCTATTGGGTGCTCGAGTCACTCGAGTGAATATGCGCCTTTAGCATGGCTTGAAACTAGTCGAGTTAATTACATGAGCAAGCCGAAAAATACAATAATTGCCTAACATGAACCTTAAAGAAATTGCACTATTATAAGAGTAGGTACAGAAGTTTCACAGGAAGGATTTGTTATACGGTTTATGGCACTAACCTGCATTTAACTAATGAAATTAATACTTAATAACAACGATAAATTATTATGTCCTTAAAGTTATACATACACAAGTGATTAACCTTTCGTGTGTCTAAGACGTGGATCCACGGATCCTTGTATTGTCTCATATCGGTGCATTTAAAAGGTTAAGGCTAATAATGTTTTAACATAATATTCAATATTGCGCCGTTATTTGGAGAAAAGTAATGATAAATTTTTATTAAATTTACTTATTTACAGGCCGAATACTGAAAGGCTACTCAATTTGAAGTTGTACTTGGATATCGTGCCATACCTGTCATTTTATAAAGAACTAGCGCGCTTTCGCGCGACTTCGTCCGCGTAGGATAATAACTTCTGGCAGATTTTATGCTTTTGAATTAGTCTTTATCAAGGGATATTCTACGGTAACGAATGTCGTCAGAATTGATTCAGGACCAAGTATAGGGCTCCTCCCCCGTATGATATATATATATATGATAGCGTGATAATAGGTATGTAGCCTATATATGGACCCGACCTGTTAGTGATATTCATATAAAATTTAAAGTAAATCTATGGAGTACTTTTTGAGATCATCCCAGACATACATACAGACAATGAGACAAAAACTAAAAAACCAAATATTTGGCTTCAGTATCGATAGTAAATCACGCCCCACGTGTATCGATAGTAAATCACGCCCCACGTATTCTTTGAAAAATATATTAAAAGTATAGTTTTGACTTTTCTACGATTTTATTATATGTATAGATAGATTTTTGGTGACAGAAACAGAATTATACTTAAGCGCGATTTCAAATTGAGTATCGATTCAGTATTCAGGGCATTAGAGGCATAGATTACCCGATTAACCCGATATGATAAAACCAAAAAACATTTTTATTGAATTGATTTTTTACCATCTTGGTATCTTATGTCATTTCACAATCGTTTCACGATCAATAAAGGTCACTATGGCAGTAAAATTAAGGCGCATTTTGCGTTAACAATTGACTTTGATAATTTAATTTTATAATACTATCATGCATGCTACTCAAAGCCGTTACTAGTGCTGTTACATTGTCATTTGCTTGCCTTCCTAGGTTCATGCGTTAACTAGAACTATAATGTATTTTGATACTGATTTTTGTTACATATTTATAAGTTTAATACTTAGTCTTCACCTAATTCCAATTTTGATTAATTAAATATTTTTATCGCGAGTAAATACTGTATTATATATTTTATTGATCAATAATATTCAGGGTAATAATAACTTTAACAATGTTTGCAGTGGACTACTTTCATTTTAATTCAGCAGGATTAATAATTGCAAATAAGTTTTCCACGGTCCATGGATTTTCTTTAATAAAACGAAGATGTGTATTATTTAATTCCAATTACTATAGGAATTTCGTAGCATCTCCTGACGCGACCGAGAACTTAACTATGAGAAATGAACCATGTAACTAATTATAATGTAACGAACATCCTATATTCCATTGAGTTTGGGCCCCTGTGAGCTACCTCCTAGCGTAGTGCGTTTTTCAACCGACTTAACAAAGGAGGTTCTCAGTTGGACCTGTATTTATGTATGTGTGCGATTATCTCGTAATTTGCGGAATCGATTTTGATACAGTTTTCAAAAAATATTTGTTACACTTTTTTTTAAGGGGGGAATAAATCATCGAATTACTTCTTCCGCTTGGGTGAGGCGAGAGGAAGTGTCAGACTCTTATTGACTAAAAACCACACTGTTCCTACTCCTGCTCTTCGAGCCGGAGGCCCGGCAACCCGTTAGCCCTTCCGCGGCTCCTTATCGGGCTTGTTATACTTGCTTGCTTTAGTATATTAATTAACCGACTTCCAAAAATAAAAGGTTATTTTAAACTTAGTTTATAAAATAGTTATTAACCATTGCCTAACGATAAACTAGAAAATATTCAACCGCAAACATTGTAGAGAAAAATACATGATTAAGTATCTCACGAATAAAATTGATCAATAGAATCCTAACTGTAAGTGTAGGGTGACTCGCAATAATATGTGTTCAAAGTTAATTGTTTTTTACCCCTTTGTTCTCCTTACCTTGTTTCTTGACCTTCCTTTTTGAACCGCTATTACTGTAACCAAAACAATCTGAATTTGATCTTCAAAATTTTGACGAATTTTAAGTTAGAAGCAGCGAAATTCATATCACAAGTTATAAGCACAAAGGCTTTTGTATGAGAAGCTGAAAATTTGGTAGTAGATTGTTTATTTTTAATATTTAAGCAGTTATGATTAGGTAATCGTTTTAGCAAAGTAGTTAAAAATACAATAGCATTCATACTAAAACATTAACATTTTTTTTTCACTAAAACAAAAATTTGGTCATCGGGCCCCTGGGATTAGCCCCAGGGGCCCATTGTCAAATTAAGGTATATGGTGCAGTACGTGCTAGATACTACCAAGCAAACGTAACTTGTTAATGCATTGTATTGTGCATCCAAGCTCAAGTGTTTGAAACAAAAAAAAAAACAAAGCTAAACCATTACCAATCGTAAAAATACCTACATAAGGTGAATTAATAGTTACAACCTAGTTAAATACCATTATTTAACATCCATATGTTCACTATTTATTAGTGCATTTTAATAGGTCATCCATTTTCTTTTGTTAGATGGAAAATCATCAAATGTATCCTTCCGCCCTTACCTCAAGCGCGGTGAGGCGGGAGGGTTTCGGTACCGAATAAATGGCGATCTACTCGCGACTTTGCCTTAGTAAGTCGTAAAGTATAAATTCAAGAAATTAAAAGACATTGGATATTCATTAATTTTTCAGTACAAATTTGTTGGACAATGTAACAGCAGACTAAATAGCAACTTCATACCTTTTAGCCTTTTCAGTCCTAGTATTAGAGGTAGAATGGAGTAGGTATTTTAAATTCATATAGAAAATGGCATAGGTTATAGCCTTATTAGCAATATTGGGTAAAAAGCAGCTCATAATATTATTTACTAAGTAATATATGTTCATAGACTAACAGAGAGAAGCAGAGGCAAGATTAGGATCATTGTTGTTTTAAGACTTTTCAACAAAAAATAGTTTTATAACTACAACAAAATTTAATCTTGTAAATGGGCATTTGCGATGTATAAAGGCACTACGAGCAAGTTAAATCCTATCAGGTTAAAAAATTTTCGCAGTCAAATATTGTATGTAAAATGCTGTTTTTAATTCAGTGCATATTGTAGTACTTTTAGTACAAAAGCTACAAAACTAATTACTCCCTATATTGCACACAGAATAATGTTTTAAGTGTAGGTAATAGAAATAAATGGTTATTGTCGTTCAAATAGGAAAATGGGAAAATCATACAACCTCTGCTTTTGATCTTTGTTTTATAATACCTACCTTAGTCATATTTGGACAACCACATATCTCTATCATACACACTTTTAGTGTATTAAACTTAGAATCATACTTATTAGTAAGATATAAAAACACCCCGCCACATGCCAATATGGAGGATTGCATTCACCGCCGTACTCAGTCGTTGAATGAATACTTAAGTTAGACCTTAGCAATTAGTTTCGGAACAAAATCAGTAGTATAGAGGTAGAATAACACAGAGAGCTGGTATGAAACTACTCTTGCGTTGTTTCCCCGTGTGAGTGAGGGTACCGGAGGCCCTGTTCGGTCTAAACCTTAACACTTGCTCGCGAAGCAGTTTTCATATATTGTTTTAACATTAACATGACATCAGTGTACTTGTCGATCGCGAACAGAACGGGTGCATTCATCAAATAACATAAACATTAACATTCAAAATTAGGATTATATATTTGTTGGGCCAACGTTTGACCACTATATCGGCTGGTGGTTAGCGATGAATGCGGTCTACGATGAAGCACGTCGTCCCACAAGCAACCTATTCACTCAGACCTCGAAGACACCCAGGTTTAACAAAGTGCTCTGAACTCTTTATAAAAACAATAAACTTTTACGGTCTTTAATGCGTTTGATGTCTACCTACGACCTTACACCCCGCACAGGCTCAATTTCCCCAATTCCCACGTCCCTAACTCCCAAAAGGTTAGCCGTGCACTTGTAACTTCTTTGATATTATAGTTTAAGTAATCATTCAATGTGTCTGTGTACGGCAATTACTGTAGGGTCAACTCACACCGAAAGAGCGACGAAGGACAGCGAGACGCGAAATTTCTCGAGTTTTCTCGTTATTGGTATTCGCCGGAATTTCCTAGTTCGGGTTTCTCATGCGATAATAAGTATTATAATAATGAAAATAAAGTTTAAATTCATATGACACTAAAACTGCTCTGTTTCGATGCTCGTTTGGTGTGAGTTGAGCTTAAGTTCTATGCCCATTTCAGTACTATCTACTTAAACATACCAGTAACTAGCGCTAGTCACTACTCTCTCTACTTCGTTATCCCGGTCCAGTGCTAAAATGCAACATAGAAAAAACTTGGTAAATTATTTAGTGATAACACGATTATAGTCGCTGTTTGTATGGAACTAAGATTGGATTCACAGTGCCATGGATAAAAATTGAAGGGTATTTTTTGGGAAAATTGCTTCTATTAAATTGAACTTTATATGAACTGTGCAACATTTAAACTGCGCTGGAAATACATGCTTTTGATACTCAACTGCAGAATATAAAACAACTTTATTCAATTGACTTAAAGTTCCAAATGCATATTTTCTTTTTATATTTCATTCCCTGACAATGTAAAAGATATTATGAAAAAGGGCTTTAATAGTTTATTTCCTTGAACACTTATGCGACTAAGCTATCACTAAATAATATACATAATTGCTCTTTAACTACGTACACTCAGATATGTATAAAAAATTGTGTGCTTGGAACATCGTAACTTAATCAACAAATTCATGGTCGAATTCAAACTTTAAAATCCTCGTAATTAAGTCAAAATTTGTAAGTCATGACGTTCCTTAGTGATCTGAAGTAGCGTCTTATTCTTGATTTCAAGAACTCGAAAGGTTTTGAAAGATTGAAACAACATTTATAAAGGATAAAATATACAGTTAAAATATGAATACGAACAAGATGCCTTTCAGTCTCCGTGGGGTCGAAAGATAGTTGATACTTCTGACGTTAATCACTTAGCAATGTCATCAAAACTCTTTATTATGATTATGATTTTAAATATACAAATAGCTAGTGCTAATTTAAACCTATATGTAGAATAATGCCATATCTATCAGAACTAATTCAAGGCTAAGTGAAAATATCAAAAGTAACATCAATTTCAACCCAGAACAGTGCAGAATGAAGCCAATTCCTAGAAATTTCTATTCAGAAATAACAGCAATTGGCATTGATTGGCATGCCAGTCACATGTTGTTTGGCATGCCAGTCACACTAGTGCTAGCTACACCCGTATAAACCTCGTAAACACCTGTTTTACCGGCTAGTGATGTACTTAGGGTCCATGTGGCCAGTATCAGACAAGGATCGCAGGACTACGTTGCCATTAGGCATTATGGATAACCATGTGATGGAAGCGTGGTTCAGTGATAACCGCAGCCAACCTTCAGGTGGGAATTGGAGTGCCCTGGAAAGATTAGAAAAGGAGCTATAATGATGATATAAATAGAACTATTGAGAAAAAGACCCGCAAAGATCCCAACTATAATTAAAATTTTTAAATAACAAGTAATTTTAACACAAATATATATTATTATTTTACAAAAAATTAAAGTTTTCAAACAAATATAAAAACATCTTATATATTATAGTATCATTAAAGACCCGGAACCTTAAGAACTCAAAAGTCTAGAAATTACTTTTAAAAAATGTGATACAAAAGCCAGCATTTTTGTAATAAAAAGTACAATGAAAAATATACTTACTTGCAAACAAAATACCGGATGACATTTGCGTGACAGACCAGCAACGTGTAGGTGTCTTCAGTCTGCTCAGGCGGCGCTCTGTAGAAGTAGCGACGGAACCCTGCCTCTATCCGCGCACTGTCCTGAAAGAACTGCTGCACGTGCCAAACCAGTGGATTACTATACTCGCCAGTTGCATTCCAAACTAGATCTTAACCTTTAAGTAGGAAGGTGGAACTTTTATTGCAAGTTTTTGGGCCCGACAGTTAAAATAAATAGGTCTTAAGAAAATTAAATTATATATCTCTAAAAAAATACTGAAATATTCTTTTAAATATCGTGGAGTAACTGTAGGATTTTTTGTGCCAATTATCTGTCCCAGTTAACAATGGGGCCCCACTTAATGGAGAATGGGGCCCGTTTATTTACACATGGGGCCTGATGACCTACGGCCATATATGAAGGTAAAATGAGATAATGAATAATAAAAGAAAGGTACGTAAAATAATAATAAAAAGTCTTATACCCATTACAATTAGTTTAAGCTCAATGGATCTCCCAAACGGTTAGAGATGAATACGGAAAATACAAAACAAAAGGTAATGATTATGAAGGACAAACTACAGATATTTATGGAAATGAATTGGAATATGCAAACTGGTTCGTATAAAATGTACCTACAGTAGTAGTGGCGTAACTATATTCATCGGAGCCCGTGGCAAATTCATTGGGTGGGACTCATCCTCGATAACCGAGAAGTTCCAATGAAAACCTGTGAACCGAGGCCCTTTTCAGCTAGGGCTCGTGGCATTTAGCCGACTTTCCACCCTCTAGTTACGCCACAGTAGGTAAATAAGGCGAAAACACATGCAAATAGTCAACCAATTAAACAATTAGGTTATAAGCAGCTGAGCAAACATTTCATGCAACCTACATAACAAGATATCAGATAATACATAGTAACAAGAGTTATTTTCAAAAAGGTTATCGTTCAGTGATCAGCACTGAATATGAATTTGTTAAGATCTTTCAGATAGATATTGCACAAGACGTTTTGAATGCAATTTTGCAGCATTCAATATCCTAAAATAGACTGAAAGGATATTTCCTCTATTGTGTACTATATTAAGCGTCTGTTGCACCACTACATGTTATAATAATACCTTCCGATCGATTTTGGGCCTGGTGGCAAGCCTAACTAAAATAGCCCAGTACGCAGGAAATATTATAGTGCAAGTGTGTGCGTGAAAACAGATGCACTCTCCGTTCCTTCACTCGATGATGGGACAAAAGACCGACACGACCAGATAGAGCTCACCTCTAGAGCGCAGGACTAACGGGTTTACATACCCTACGTAAAAAGAATAAGAAATAGAGTATTCTCGTTATTTTATTAAAAATGTCATTTTTTATAAGGGGCAAGCCCGCCGCTACATCCTAAAAACATAATTCTGTATCTGGTACATAGCGGCTATCTAGAGAAAGGAGCATCGTTGAATGAATCATCCAATACCAGAGGAATTACAACCTTCCCAGTCTTTTCTATTAGGTAAAATAGCAGTAATAAAATAGTGTTGTAGTATATATAGAATGTATTGTAGTATCATACATATTATATACATAAACCTCACGCCTTTCTCCTTAGCGGTAGGCAGAGACTATGGAACGCCAATTCTCACATACCTCTTTCGATTCATCAACAGTCATCAGTCTTTTCATACATGCTCGTCGGTTAAGGGTACATAACTAATACTTATTGACCTGAAGTGACCATGACCACGGCACTTAAGAATTTGTATGACTTCATTAATTCAAGTATGCCAATAAAATTTCTCAGAAAACAATGAACTGGTTTTCCTTATTCAATCAATTGCCTAAGCTCAGTAGCTATGTGATTTGTGGTCACTTTACTTGAAGGTAGATGAGAGATGAATCAAGTCGACATACACAGAAGTGGGTAGAAGACATGCGAAGTAAATATTACCGTCTCTAGATTTAAAAAGCGAAGTTGCCGGCGAATTTATTCAAAAATCAATGATTAACATTGATTGTGAATGTTAATCCATGTTTTGGATTAAGCCCCTAAGTTAGAGCTCCAAGATTTTTGACTTCGATCCAGGTATTCTGGATCTTGGTTTTCACCCAAAATCTCTGGATACATACAGACATAACGTCACGCCTTTTATCCCCCAAGGTGTAGGCAGAGGTGTACATTATACCACTGTACAATGTAACACCCACTTTTCACAATTTATGTTACGAGTCCCATGTAATAGGGAGTGAGCCTATTGCCATATACCGGGCAAAATTACAGACCCCGTGCTACTACTGAGAATTTGTTAAAAACCCAGTAATACTTTGCCCGACCCGGGAATCGAACCCGAGACCCCTTGCCCGGCAGTCGCACTTGCGACCACTCGACCAACGAGGCAGGCAGATCTTTGGAATGAAGTGAATAATATTGGAATGAAGTGAAGAATGAATGAATAAAGAATTGAAATGAAGAATGAAATATAAAGAAATAACACTTTAAAAATATAGATTGTCACCTAGGAATGGCAAGCGCAGTTGTGCGAAACCTAAGCAACACAAAATCCTACTTACTTTTGGTTCCGGTCTCCAGTGTCCAACTGGTGGTTCCGGAGGTATCGGGGCTCCTTCTTCAATGAGTTGACAGTCCCTTACTTCAATATCCTTGTCCAGGTGTTTGGCTATGATGGTGCCTGTTTCTTGAGCCCGTGTCATTGTGGACTGGACTAGTAAGTCCCATTTTATGTCTAGCAAAGCCAGTCTTTGGCCTGTTAAGTCAGCTTGTAGTCTTCCTGTAATTCATTATGATAGACATAGACATTGTAGAACATACTTTTTTAAAAAGATTAACGAATTGAGTTTTTTTGCTCGTTCTACTCCATTCGAATCTACATTTTGAAATGAGCACCTAGCTTCACTGACGGAATGACTGACCGACTATTATTTATTTTGTACTAGCTTTTACCCGCGGCTTCGCTCGCGTCACAAAAGGATCAAAAGCCAATGTGACATATACCAATACACACAGCGCCATCTATACCAATAATTTCGTTTTCCCTCAAGAATATCAATTTTTTTCCGGGATAAAAAGTATCCTATTCCAAATCCAGACTTCTAACTGTACATCGGCAAAAATTCAAAGCAATCGGTTTTGTAGTTATGGCGTGAAAGCGGAACAAACAAACAAACTCACTTTCCGATTTATAATATTGGTAAGGATAAGGATTTGTTTACGTTTCAAAAGTACTAAATTATGGTTTAACTCGTCGAGTACCGGTTTTGTAGACACAATTATAGACCAATAGGTTGCGGTCACCGGTGACCGCTTGGTGTTTGACAGTTTAATTAAAATAAATGCTTCGACATTGACTTTGAAAATAAGTTCTATAGACTGCCTTAAACAATAGTGAGATGAATGTAATTTTGATTATGAATATGATGTTTGCCCGTATGGTTGCAATCTAAATTGAGACTCGATTTAGATTATTGTATTCGCAAAATTCACAGAAATGCAGCATGAAGTTTACAATTGTGCGCTGTGAATTATGTAAGACACGTGCCTGTTTACATTAGTTAAATGTTGAAGACTTTATTTTTTTAAAGGGGGTAAATCATTGAATGACTGCTCTCGCCTGGGTGAGGCGGGAGAGAGTGTCAGACTCTCACTGACTAAAAATCACCCTGTTCCTACTCCTGCCCTTCGAGCCGGAGCCCCGGTAACCCGTTAGGTTCTCCGCGGCTCCGTATCGGCATCAGCCCTATTGGGCCCCATCTATGGTGGTCTGATGGCTCTTCGAGGCGCGCGCGCGATGCGCCGTACAAATGTATACGACTAGGTGTCACATTTATGTGCATACATATTTGCAATTGCAAGAAACAGGTAAGAACTCCTAATATAGAAGAAGACTAGGGTCAATGGAAAATACAAACATTTTAGTATACACTTATTGTAAGATAACAAATCCTACTATCCTATTAATATTATAAATGCGAAAGTTTGTAAGACGTATGTGTGTGTATTTGAGTGTGTGTGTGTTTATGTGTGTGTGTTTGTGAGTATGGTCTGAAAGTTGCCTGTGTGTTCATAGGCAACTTTTTATGCCACGGGAACGCGGGCGAAACCGCTGGCAGAAGCTAGTTCAACGTAATATTTATTCATATGAAAGGTTACGGCCCCGGTAACAACATTTTATTTATAAAGTTAATATTTTATGACCAAGTAACAATGATGATTGTTAATAAATCATACTATTTTTACCAGGTTATTCTTTTATTTGTTTATTTATTTATTACTAGTGACCCGCCCCGGCTTCCACGGGTGCAAAATGCGCGTAATATACATATTATAAACCTTTGTTAAGAATCACTCTTTCTATTAAAAAAATCGCATCAAAATCCGATGCGTAGTTTTAAAGATCTAAGCATACATAGGGACAGACAGACGGCGGATAGCGACTTCGTTTTATATTATGTAGTGATTTTCAGCCATGATCGTTCCACTGCAGGGTTTAAGGCCTCCGTACCCTCCTACCACTCTTCTCTATGTAAAGCTTTTTGAGGCTAATCCTTGTCATAGATGTCTAATTCGTCCCGCCATCTCCTTTTGGGCCTGCCGCGACGTCTACTGACGTTGAATGGGCTCATTCAGTAGTAAGTTTTACCCACTGCTCGTCTGACACGACCAGGTTATATACCTGAGATATTTTAAATGTCTTTAAAATAGAAATTTTACAGTTTAGTAGCAGTAGGACTAGCAATTAATTAAGTATTATCTCTTAAATAATTAAAAAGCATTTAAAATAATGACCGTTTTATGTTCTAAAGGTTCAATTTTATAATTTTACATACACCTACACCGGTAACGGTAGTATGTGTGGAACTTTGTTAATTTTAAGATTTGTGTGCACCATGTACTGAGAAATAAATGACATTCATTTATTCATTCATTCATTCATTAAAAAGATGGATAATATTCTAGAAATTATAGATTTTAAAATTTCTTTAATCATTTGACGGCACAACTACCATAACATCACCTTTTTAATAACCGAAGGAGCATGTAGAGGTGTAGACTTATATTGCACCAGTTCAGTTCGCTTTTGTGTAATATACTCAGAAGAACAATATGTAGATCACACAAATAATTATTACTCGTATAAAGTGGTACCACAAAGAAATAACTGTTTTATGCTCCTCACCTAAGTCCGTAAGAGTCCTGTCCTTATCCTTGGCTCCATCGACATTGTACTGTCCGTGTCTGATGAGGAACAGGTGCCTCACAGCCCTGCTCTTCGCTTTCTCCAGCTTCTCATTATACTTATTGTCATCTTCCTCCAGTCCATGCTTAATTGGTTTTACCAAGCATTCTGGTTCCCGGCTAAAATTTAAATTATTATTATTAAGATGCTAACTTGTACATGCATGAATTCAAGGTTATGTCCAGCCGTACCTAGCTTAATCTGTATGATATTATAATGTGATGTACACTGATTTCAATATGGAAATTTATAATAAAACAACTTGTCTATAGTAAGTAGTGCACCGCTCAAGGGAATGTTTGCCCGCCACTTCTAACTGAAGGGAAGTGTGTGGTGCGACACCGTTGACCTGTGACTACATATATTGTTTATATATCACATCTCTTCCTTTTTATAGTAATTAAATGCGTTAGTTTATGATTTTGCGTGATTGTGTGTTTGTCTGCATGTTTATTACTCAATCGGTTCAAAACGGCTGAAGGGATAGAGTTGAAATGATTACTTTTTAGTCCATGGTAGAAGCTAGTTAGTAGCTAGCTGCAGATAGAAGCTAGTTTTAAAATATTTACATGTAATGGCTGCTGTTTCATTTGAATCAAAATAAATTGACAGAAATTCAATTGGATGTTAAAATTGATATCAATCACAATCCAAATGGTTGAGATTGATCGTTTATTAATTTCGGCTGTAAAACCGATGTCATTTGAAACTGATTACAGCCTATCTATAGAATTATTAACTAGTTTGTCATATTTTCATCTGTCATGGATGTTCACCTACATCCAACAACAATAGTCGATCAGTTTTATGGAGACTTTAACTGACATTAAGCTTGTGTCCTAGAGGCAGATAAGGAGATAATCAGATTACGTATAATGAGATTTCTATTAGCTTCTTGAAGTGTTAATTAGGTAAATGCGGCAGGTATGTATTCAATATCATATCAGTTGTGGTTTAAATTATCTTAATCAACGCTAGTATTACCCTATACTGTAAATCTGGAATGACTCCTACTTAATATTGGAAGTACCAAACTAGTAGTATTATATTAAAATTAATATTATTATTCATCGATGGTAGATGCCAAAAATAAACAAAATAAAGGGATGAGGTAGCAGACGTTAGCAGTTTTCCTGATGAAGTTTTGCCTATCTGTCCTGATATTATGTCCGTTGTAATTGTCACAACATGTTTTACTATGATACATAAGAGGCTATGATATCTTATTTTTTCATGAAATAAGCCAGTAAACTAGCAGACTGGTAATGAAGGTGATCCGTCTCCTAGTTTACAATACAGCAATCGGGGTCATCCATTGGGGCTTAGGAATTTGAGGATATTTGGGGATTCAGGGGCTGGGAGGAGTGGGGTGGGGATAATTGGACTTAATAACATATTTTACACAGCAAGTTGAAATTATCATTATACTGAACAAATACCTAGTATGTAAGTGTACTCATGATTATTAAACCATGCAGGATGTTTATTCTATCAAGTGATCAGAAGAAAAAACTTGTGCGCAATTTGTTTCTGAGTGGGGAATCCCACATAAACATAAAAAAGCAAACTTTGTTCTACAGCTTTTTGCTAAGTTAGGTATAAATAAAAGGAAATCACATGTTGACAAATTTATATTTCAACCTTCTAGTTTTAACTCGTCGAGTACCGGTTTTGCAGACACAATTATAGAACAATAGGTAGGAACATCATAAGGTAAATGAACTTCGCTATAGTACGGTTCTATTTTTGAATGTCTTTCCATACTATTTTGGTATCAAAATATTTTAATAATCTGTGTCATGACATGGCCTGGTTGATATTAGACAAATTAACACCAATAGAATCCTTTAGTTCTGATAAGATAGACATTAGAATACTAAAGTACATAATAACTGTTTAAAAACAACTTTAGACACGCTATTTACTATGTAATTAAGCAAACAAATGATTATGAATAGTTGATGATAATAGGTCAATCTATTTTTTCTGAATAATTTATACTTACTGGTCCCAATTTTTTTCCCACTGCACGCTAGGAGTGAAATTCGTCGTCCAAGAGTTGAAAGCGTTAAACCTTTTTTCCTTAGAATCACTATTTATTCTGTAATATGCTAAACCGCCTCCGACAGCACCCAAACTTATGAGGGCGAGCTTTTGAATTCTGGATAGCGATGCCATTTTGATCTTAACGATTAATGATCCAGCAAACAATTACCATTAGCTGGAATATTGTAAACTGTACTTCTATTTTTAAGAAATTAATTTTAATTTCAAATCGTTCACGAAAATAACCTCGTTACGACAACAACGTTTCGCGAACTGACAAGAATGAAAGAGTAAAAGAAACTACCATAATGTGCGCAGCGCGAGTTGTCAATTGTCAAACTAGTAAAAGTGACTAATGGCTACATCACTTTTGAAAATCGACTAATAGTTCATTTTACTTTGTTAACTTTACCTTTATTTTTTTTGTCCGATTTTATCCAAATCATGAAATTAATGGAATGTATTTACTTTAAGATGATATAATGATTTGGGGACAATAAAAACAATGTTGTGATAAGCGAATTAAAGTCCTTATTGGTCTAAGCTAATAAAAATGAGTTTAAGCAGTTCAAAGCCGTAAAATAAATTAAATCGTTGGTGTAATAATACAATAAAGTACCCGTAACATTATCATTTATTTTATAAATAAAACCTGGTATACATATTGCTATGACAATAAAGTTAGGTTCATTTTTTTCTTGGATTCAAGATGATAGGAAATCCATTCAATGATGCGACAGAAATAGATATAATCACACGTAGATCATCGTAAGTTTCAGTTGAAGAAAGTTCAAATTCTCTTAGTACACGCACACAAAGTGTTTTCACTAACTTAGTCCCGAAGAATCGTCCTGGAAAAAAAGATACGATGACTAAGATATTAAGTAGATACGTAGGTATAGGTAAATTTAGTAAACTTCTAGTAGTTGGGTGCAATGGTATAGGTAATATATTTGATTGATTCATCAAGCTATTAAAATGTCTTTGGTTGTAGAAATTCCTATTCTTATTTAGTTTTAGCTATGTAGAGATATTAGATACAGACAAACGACCTTATAAAGGTAGATACATATATATATGCTTGTAGGTACTAGGTACTAGTTACTTATCTAGGTTAAATGAGCTAGCCTTGTTCTGAATAGTCAGTTATGGAAAGAGCCATATAAAGAACATTTTTTTATAAGATAAGGTACAATACCTTTGATACGTTATGATTAGTACTCATGATGTAATTTAAATGTGGGAGAGCCCATGCTTCGGCGCGAATGGGCCGACTCGACCGGAGTACCACGGCCTCACAGAAAATTTATTTATTTAGTCTGTAATGTACACTATTTGATTATGGCACATAAGGCGAACTTAATGCCATATGGCATTCTCTACCAGTCAACCTTAGGGTTTAAGTAAAAAATTTGCGAAAAATAAGGTACGGAGAATAAACTAACAGCAAAGAGAGAGAGGAAAAAAAGGTTATTATTAAATAATATAGCTATACATATATATTACATAATAGTACATAGTATATGTATATAGTCATATGCATAAAATGTGAAACTACACTCGCGTTGTGTTTTGTCGTGTAGGTCCTCACTTACACTTACTACGCCTCCGGGAACCTCTTGCCGGAGGCGAAAGTGATCCCCTCCCCAATCTCTATCAATCCTGAAATTCCTAATTCCCAAAAGGCCGGTAAAGCACTTGTAACGCCTCTGGTGTTTCGGATGTCCATGGGCGTTGCCGATCACTTTCCATCAGGTGATCCCTCTATCCTTTTACCGGCTTATTCCATAAAAACTTACCTAAGCAGTCCATCTGTCCCAAACTGAATGGTATGTAAGCATTAGGGTTGCGTGTTTTCACATTTTCAGGGTTGAACCGCTCTGGGTCGAAGCGATCTGGTTCAGTCCAGAATCTGGGATCCCTGTGTAAGTGGAATATTGGCGCCACGAAAGAACAACCAGCGGGTAGTGTGTAGTTACCTGAAATCATTTAAGGATAGTATTTTGATCAGTAAGTACGTATATTCTGTTAATTTCAATTATTTTAGGTCGGTAAATATAAGCATTAAGACAGATAGTATCTACCTCTAAGTTCGTAACATCCTTGGACTTGATAATTGGGTATCTTTAATCAAAAATAAAATAATTTCGACTGTTCAATACACTAAAATATTAAAAAACAATCACACTTTCATTAGTTTATTTGATAACCATAACCATATATTTTCAGCAAATTTTTAAGTAATAAGTATGTTGTTTGATGCTAAAAAAACGTGACGTCACAATACACAATCTCGTACAAAATTCAAAGAAAACTGGCGTTTTTGACAGTTAGAAAAAAGTATTGAATTTGACTTGGCTTTTTTTTTTATTTTTTAGGGGGGGAAAATCATCGAATGACTGCTCCCGCCTGGGTGAGGCGGAAGGGAGTGTCAGACTCTTACTGACTAAAAACCACCCCGTTCCTTCTCCTGCACGTCGAGCCGGAGCCCCGGTTACCCGTTAGGTTCTCCGCGACAATTTGACTTGGCTAGTTGGCAAATACCCATTACCCAATTAGGTTATGACTTTCTCGGTGAATTAATTAAATATCTATCCACGTCACGTATTATCTAATAACACCAGTGTAGAATTAATCTAACGAGGTAATTTAGCTTTGAACACAATATCTATCTTATTGATCATTGGATAATACGGAGACTATTCTTACAGCTGCTCGATGATTGGAGTCCAAAAATGTTTTAGAACCTTTAACTAACAGATACTGCCAACGTTAAAACAGTTTCAAGTGATGGCAAATACTGCCTTTTGACTTTTGAATCACACATTCTAATATGCCAAAAACCCTGTAAATATCAAACTTACTAATAGCAATATCTTCGTTAATAGTTCTCTGCAACATAGCCCCTATGGGGTACAGTCTCAGCACTTCTTTGAACACCATCTCTAAGTACGGCATTCGTTTCAAATCATCATCAGTGACATATCTGTCCTCATCACCGATAATATTCTTTATTTCTGCAAAAAGTTTCTCCTGTAAATTAGAAAAGGTATAAATACAGTTCAAGTCTATAGCTGAATTGACTGCCTCGTTGGCCGAGTGGTCGCAACTGCGACCGGCCGGGCAAGGGGTCTCGGGTTCGATTCTCGGGTCGGGCAAAGTAAAGTACTGGGTTTATAAAAATTCTCAGTAGTAGCACGGAGTCAGGAATTGTGCCCGGTATATGGCAATAGGCTCGACCCCTATAAATGGGACTCATAACATAAATAGTGAAAAGTGGGTGTTACATTATACAGTGGCATAATGTGCACCTCTGCCTATCCCTTCCGGGATAAAAGCCGTGAAGCCGTGTTATGTGTGTGTCCACTGCTGAACTATAAGCCTATTGTGAGCCTAGTCATCACCTCCACGCCTCTGGTGACAGATTGGAAATCGTTGAAAGGGTTTGAAAGGGTCTCAGAGCGCCAAGCACGAATAACTATCGCATCCGTAACGTAATAGTAGGTATATAGTGCGTTCGGCGTTCAGGATGCCTTAGTACGACTTTGTATTATATTTAAAGTAATGGAAACGAAACGTCGTCCGGCGCTCTAATTGGTTAGTTCATTGGCGCCGGCCAATCACAGCGCCGAACGTAACGTAAAACAAACTCGTACTAAGACCTCTGATTGGCCAGCTCCAGTGAACCAACCTGAACCTGACAAATGGCGCCTTGGTTTATTAGAGAGCGTTGCTACCCAGTCTATCTCTACTAATATTATAAAGAGGAAAGATTTGTACCTATTTTTGTATGTTTGTAATGCATAGGCTCAAAAGGTACTGGGCCGATTTAAAAAATTCTTTCACCAATAGAATGCTACATTCTTCCAATTTGACATAGGCTACATTTCAGTTTGAAAAAAATTAGGGATCCTTGGTAAATTATGAACAATGTAACCTTCGGTTAGATAGGTTAGGATTAGGATTAGGATTAGGTAGAAAAATGAGTCTTAAAATGTCTTTCGTCGAATGCGCTGCCGAAAATATTAGCAAAATAATGTACAACAATATTGAAGAACATCATAATGTCTACTAAAAACTCCGCGGTAGCATATGTCCAACTATTGTAGTTATGTCACTACAACAATCCAAATTTCCAAAAATAAATAATTGTCTACCCCGTGCGAAACCGGGACGGGCTGCTAGTGTTAAATATATATATATTCACGACCTGCGGGAAGAGTCAGGGTAGTGACAAACATTTTTTAATAAAACCCAGTTTACTATTAAAAAATCAAGTCAAAAACGACATCATTATAGAAATAAAGAATTCCAGTTCTTACCTGACATTTTGGGTGATAAGCCATCATAAGGAGGATGTAAGACGATATTTTTGCAGTAGCCTCTTGACTCTGAAATGAGAATGATTTTCTTATAAAAACTATACTATAAAATATATGGCACTTGTATAGCTGTTAATGTATTAACTTGTTTACTTACTTAACTAAAAATCGTGGGTAACTTACGTGAATATACTGAGAAAAGGTCTACTAGTTTCGAACCACAAAGGGGTTCATACTCATGAGCAACGTGCGCAGTCGTGGCGATGTCGTTCATCTTACTGGCTAGCGTTGGTGCTCGCATCGGTGTTGCTACTCATGAGGAAGAACCCTACTGTGGTTGGAAACTAATAGAGCTTTTTTGAATATATTCACGTGAGTAACTCGGGATTTTTAGTTAATTTAGTATATCTCACGATAGTTATTATAGAAACGTTGTTTACTTTCTATTTTAAGGTTTTGACTACCAATAGAAAAACGCAAATCCTCTGCTAACATCGGTCACCGGTGACCTCCATGGCATGTGTTAAGCAGATGTAATGATGGTCAATGTTAATTTTCTCTCTTGTTGAAAATTATCTTTGCGCAGAGTCTCGTCTCTGAACAGTTTCACCGACTGCCAAATTGCAAAATGACTTAAATACCAACTTACCGAAGTAAATATAGTAAAGGTCTCTTGCACCAGCTCATCTTTATCAAGCTCCTGTGAGAGTAGGAACCTATCGATAACACTGAGTTCAGTATTAACACTTGAATCATCTTCAGAGTTCATCAGATCCCTCTTACTGTCCTCCAAAGTCTTCAGCCTTTCCGTCCTATGCTGCAGAATGACTTCACAAAAGTCCGTCATCATTTTTACAAAGTTTTTCTGGGAGTAATGGTCACTGGTCATCCAGAAAACGGGATCGATTTGCAGGTACCATTTTGTCATCCTACGAAATACTATGTCGTAAAGGCTGTAATAGAAAAGG